AGCGAGGAACATGCACTCGATCATCTCTGAGACTGGACGTAGGGCTCCGGCCTGAACCAATATAAATCGTCGTGTCTATTGAATGCTATCATCGTCTTCCTAGAGCAGCGCGACAATCATATAAGTTTACTAGTCTGGTTTTTACAAAATACATTGATAGACATAGACGATAACGACATGATATATTTTAATATGTCCCGGAATCACCATATCATGGTACGTGTCAGATTTGGTTTGTGTTAGCTAAATACAGAAAAAACATAAAAAATACAATAGAAAAAGAAAACTTGCCGGTGAAAAAAAATTCAAAAAATAAAAAACAAATAGAAAATCGTGGAAAACTATGCCGTTGGAAAAAATCAGAAAAAATCGAAACTACCGTGGAGTCACGGGAAACCTTTCCGTTGGAAAAAATTGGAAAACAAAAAAAAGGGGAAAATGAAACTTGCTGGTGGAAAAAATCAGAAAAGAAAAAAAATGGAATTCATAGAAAACTACACCATTCATACTAAAATCAGAAGAAAAAAATCAGGAACCACGCCAACTGTTCTGTTGGAAAAAGAAAAATAAAAAAAAGAATCATAAGTCACCATAAATTAGGATTAGCCGACTAGAGGTTAAAAGCAAATTAGGAAACAGAAGTCACCTTGGTTTAGGATTAGAGGACTATAAAACGAATCAGAAATTATTGTTGATTAGCGGATGACGATAAAACTGCATCCGACTGCCACCATCTGTACAAGTAGTTAGGGAGAGGTAGTCAAAAAAATAATAAGATGAAGTTTTCATTCTTTAATATTAGGTGTATTAAATATATAATATAAATAGATATATAGATTAAAATCCCTCGTTTGTTTCAGCGTCCTTCTAGCTTCCCCTTATTTCAACAAGTGAAAGTCCGTCTAATAACAATAAACCAAAAAAATGCAAAAGGGTACGGTCCAGAGGAGTAGGGCCAAAAAAAGGAATAATATATAGCACATGCTGCGACAGAGGTACTCATCAGGTTAGCTCAGGTTGTTTATGCGTGGAGGCTTGATTGCACGGCTGCACGCTGTCTCTGGTCTTAAACTAGTCCTCGCCTCCCTAATTTGTTTATTAGTCACGGGCAGATCAAAGCAATGATCGGGATTTCCACGGCCGATTATTAAACAAATCGGTCTCTGCTTTGGCCTAAAAAAATGATCTCCTTTCACCGAGAGGTACGTAAGCGTTGAAACAAAGTTAAGAACGAGGTAGGTACGGTACTGGCCGGTTTTTTCTTCTACTCACCCATGCATGCATGCACAAGTAGTATGTTTCTTCTTAAGTTCATGGCACGTGAGCCGTGAGACGACAGAAAGTTCAGGCGACACCAGAGTTTATACTCTAACCTATAGTACATATGTAGTGTAGCCGGAGAATTTTAAGCACCTACTCCCTCCGTTCAGAAAAGAATGCAATTATGGATTATGTGCCAGTAAAAAAAGTTTACGTTCAACCAAGTTTCTAGTGAATAGTAATCATATCTATGGCTTCAAATCAATTTATTATGAAAATACATTTCATATTTAATCTAATGTTATTTATTTGATATCATAAATATTAATACTTTTTTATTTATTTATAATTGGTCAAACTCAAGATACTAAAATGTGGCACTATACTATAATTACATTCTTTTCTGAACGGAGCCGAGTACTTTGCAAAGTTTGGTGCATCTCAATCAACCTCAACTTGGCAGCTGAATACTTATCTGCTAGAGTTATAGTATCATCAGGTCGGGCCGCGCAGCCTCCTGTCCCCTCCGTGTGCGTGCGCCGAATGCCGTGGCTGCTGATACATACTACATGCACAGTAATCGTCTGCATGCAGAAAGAGGGAGAAATGGTGGACCGATGCGATAAATCGCCCGCTTTGATCGACCACCGCATGCATGGACGGACGTGAGAAAGGGAAGTCACGTCGGGCATGCACATGAGCCACTCACGGTGGCCGGAAGAGGCAGGCAGGCAGGCCAGCACCAGCAGCAGATTGGGAGGCAGGCCAGGGGCAGGCAGCGGCAAGTGGGGCGGGGCAGCACAGCAGCAAGCAGGAGGAGGTGGCGAGCGGGGCCGAGACCGGGAGGGTCGCCGGCCTCGTCCTCTGCGGGCCATGCAAGGGGACACGACGCAACTTCCCCCATCAGCCTGCCCCCCCGGGGGGAGGACGGGGACAGGTGCGTGCCGGCCGGCCCCAGCCAGCCCCCAGCTCGATCGGCCTCGTGAGTGAACTGAACCGGCCAGATGTGTTTGCTATGTGATGCTTCCCGATCGATCGGTACGGTGCCACTCGATGTCGTGTCCTTGTTCCGTTTCCTGGGGCACTGATTATTGGTGCACAACTGCACATTTCTTCTTTCTTTTTGCTCCGTCCGTGTGATGAGTTGGCATGATATGTGTTTGGCCGTTGGTACGAAATGAGACATGGTGCGACGCGACGACTCCTTGCTAAATTATCTCTCAGTTGACTCTGGTCCCTGGACGGCTACACGATATCCATACCACCACATGTACACGTACTAGACACTCATACCTGAATGGCTACAGGAGGTTGGTAAATACTGAGATTGACAAGATCGGCTTAGGTGTCTCATTTGCTATCACTAGCATATTGGCTACCACTGAACAAAAAAAAAAATCACAGAAACATTAGCACCGAAGAACGTAATGCTGAAGCCTACTAGTAGGTCAGTTCGCTGAGGTAGTCATTTTGCAACTGAGTCGGAGACCGATGCTCGTACTCCTCGTAAATGTTCTGACTTTTTTCTTTCGACATTATATTGATGGCCCGCCAGAAAACTACTGATTATTGCGAGAGAGAAATACCGTTCTATCTGGAAAACACTGTTCGTGAGTGCGCTGGCCAGCCCAGCCGAAGCCGGCCAGCCAGCCGAACGCAGCCAGATTTCAAACGAACTGGTTCTGAAGTTTGACTCACGAGTTTAGACGACACCAACAGGTAACTAATTTGGGTGGTGGCCGGTTGTCTGCAGAGGTCAACAGCATGCGACGTGCGAGCTGTTTGCGAACATTTTAGAGAAAAGGAACCGGCCGATAAATTACTGGCCCCCAGGCCCCAGTCCTCACCAGAGACTGACCTCTGCCGCATCATTGCCGAATCCTTAACAATCTCCAAAGCAAAAGAGGACCCGTCACGAGCCCACGGAAAGAAAGATTCAGATCCGGGGTGGAGACTGGAGAGCGAACTCGCCCTCGCCCGGCCGCCGACGCCGACCGCATCCGCTTCCGCATGTACTCGTAGAGGCTGTTCGGCTGGCTTATTGCCTGCTGGCTGGCTGGCTTATTCTCTCACGAAATCACTGTTTACGTCCTGCCAAAACAGTATTTTTCTCTCACAACAATCAATCGGAATAGTATTTTTCAGTCCTGCCGAACAGGCCCATAGGCTGACTGTGGGCATGCACAATAACTACTCTCCCGTGCTCGGCTACCTCTGCGCCGCTGCCCCCCTCCCGGGTCACCCGCGGCGGGGCTGCGACGGCTACCTACGGGGTCAGCTCGAGGCGCGCCGGGTCAGAGCTCGGATCGGATGCATCCATCGCACGGGCACGCAGGGCGACTCTGCAAGGAATAAATGGCTCCGCGCCAACGATCCCTCTCAGCCGGCTATCTAGGCTGCGGTGCCCTGCCCTCGTAGTCACGACATGGGCGCTGGAAAATTGGGTGCCCGGTGCCCCGGCATTCATGAGCCATGACCTCCTCACCCAGGACTACGACTGCTGTAGTACTCCTGCAAGGCCAAAATCCCCGCTTCAAATCCTGCCGCCGTTTCGGAAGATATCATCGATTCTGTGTGTGTGTGTGTGTGTGTCACTGGTGCCATGTAGTGCTACACCTAGATCCATCCACCTATTTTTTTGCAAGTAGTAAAAGGTGTTTTGATGGCAGTAGTTGTAGTAATTGGTTTCACAACAGGAAAACAGGATCCGAGGAAATAAAGCTACCGAGAGTGCCGGGTCACACTCGAGTGCGAACTGGGAAGCGTCGAGCACTCATAATAGTGCAATCATGTTATCATTCATGCTACGTGCTCTGTCCAGCTCCAGCACCGCTAGCAGATCGATCGGCAGATGGGATGGAGCACTACTACTAGCAGTAGCAGCAGGCAGTACTGCTATACGAGGACCACACAACGTTTGTTTCCATACCTTGGCAGGTCCACCGTTTGTGCATTGTGGTCGGGAGCACGAGCGCAGGCAGAGACAGCCAACTGTCGCGGTCGGTGCTGCACTAGCATTATTATTTCTCAAAGATGCACATGGCAATTACTAGGGTTTATTTAGGAGCATTCATTTCGTTCTGTATTCATTCATACCCTTTTCATACCCGATTGTGTGTGTGTGTGTGTGTGTGTGTGTGTGTTTGCGAATTACCCGATTGTGTTGGAGAAACACCATCGAGCCCTCGTTTCCGTAACGGAGACCCCCCTCTTTTTTTTTGGAGGAATAGATAGGCTTTCCACCACATTTCCACAAGAAGCCGCTGGTCGTATGCTGAAGAATACTAGGAGCACTGGATGGGCGTCATGATTTCACAAATCTGCGTGTGCAAACTCGCGAGACCAAACCGGTTTGCCACCTCGGAACCAACAGCGTTACTTCGTCAACAGTCAAAAGTAAGACTTGGGACTTTGGATTTCAAGGCCTGTATTGACGCCAAGATAGCAAGGAAATCAAACATGATCGACGCTACTGAGGTTAATGAACTCTATTGCAGCAATTTCTTTGTGCACCCCCGGCCGTCCGCAGTCCAATCCGACGGCCAGACGATGCGCTACACCCTCGGATCCCTCTCTAAACCGGTAAACCAACCACCCATCGGCAATTCCACACAAAAAAAATCCCAAGAACCGCATGATTAAGTGAAAACAAAAGAAAAGGGAAGAAAAAAAAAGGTGAGCGTATTTACAGCCAGATCCTCCTCCATCCATTCGCGTCGCCGGAGGTGAAGCAGAGGGCCTCACGAAGTCGCCGGCGCCTGCGGTTGCGGTTGCGCCTGGGCGGCCAGCGGGCGGTTGAGCGGGGACGAGAACAGAGCCGCGAACGACGAGGGCCTCTGCTGCTCCGGGGCAGACGACGCCGCAATGCCAGTCGCAGCAGGGGAGGGCGACGACGCGGGCGCCGCCGGTGCGGCGCCGGCAGGGGCGGCGGAGTTGGAGGCGACGCGCTCGCAGGACGGGCACATGGAGAGGGTGGTGGCCGGGAGGTGCATGTAGAAAGGGTGCACCGTCTTGAGCGCGCGGAGCTCGGCCAGCTCCTTCTGCAGCCGCCGGTTCTCCTCCGTCAGCGTCTCGCAGCAGCGCTTCAGGTACTCGCAGTCCACCTCCGTCTGCTTCAGCTTCGTCCTGCACGCGAGGCACCGGGTGTTATTATATATTTCAGTCGATGATTGCCGGGCTAATTAATCAAGACTATTCTTGACATGCGGATGCAACCGTGCGCGCACCTGGCTCTGCGGTTCTGGAACCACACCTCCACCTGCCGCGGCCGGAGGTTGAGCTGCTTCGCCAGCGCCAGCTTCTGCTTCTGCTTGCCACGGAACGCACGCACCAACGAACGTCAGGATCGAGATCGGCCGAGGAACCAAGACTTGATGATTTCTGCGTGATCGGTTGCTTACCGGGTTAAGCGTGGCGTGCTCCTTGAAGCTTTCCTCCAGGAACGCGGACTGCTCCTTGGAGAGGCGCAGCTTCTTGCGCGCCGAGCCGCCGTCGTCGTCGTCGCTGGCGCGGGAGCACGCGCGGTCGCCCCCGCCGGGCGCCACCTGGCCCTGCGCGGAGAAGTCCGTCGGGAACGAGCCCGCGCTGTCGTTGTTGGGCGACGACGATGCTGCTGCCGCCGCCGCGGCCGCGCCCGCCTCGTCCTGCTCCTCGTCCTCCTGCGCGGCGGCGGCACCGGCACCGGCCACGGACAGCGACGGCGCCCGGTTCACGTCGAAGCCACGCGTCGACGACGCCTCCAAATGATGCCCTGCCCAGCGCGAATCGCCATTTCAGCGATCGATCTCGCCGCGCACGCGGAAAATAGAAGGGAAACAAACGAATAATCCAGGAAGCACAAAAATAAGGCGGCGACGGTGCTTGCGTGTCAGGTATCACTCACGGTTGGTCTCGGACGACGGCGGCGGCCACGGGAGGCCGAGGCCGGGCAGGAGCGTGAGTCGCACAGCCGGCTCCGGAGACGACCGGGCGCCGCACCTCCCCGTCCCGAACTCCAGCTCCCTCCTCGCGTCCCTGTCCCTCCTCCCCCTCTCTGCTTCCTCCTCATCCCTCCGCACTACGACGCCCATCCCAAGCCCAAGCACGAGGTTCCTCCCGGCATCCGCCATGGTCTGCCCCAAGCTGAGCCCCAACTCCATCCTTCCTGCCAGTGCCAGGGACCAGTAATGAAACCGTCGGGACGCGCCAGGCCTGCGTGCGGGGCTTTATAGCATAGCAACAGCTGGAGGAATCGCCCGGCCCGGCCCGGCCCGGCCCACGCCCACGCCCCTCCTCCCTCCCTCGGTCCCTCCTTCCCGGTGCGTTTACGCCTGTGATAATGGCGGGTTTGACCAGTTGACCCGGCCGCACGTGACCCGGAAAAGGAGAGCTGGGTGGGGAAGTTGCATGCAATTCAAAGATTTTCCAGGGGTCATTTCCTGAAAAGGCAAAGAGCTCGGTGGCATTGGCAGGCGATAATAATGAGGTTAATCATTATTGTATCACTGGGTACGTATCTTTCCCCTTTTGTAAATGGCACCCGCAATCTTTACAAGAAAGCTGCCCATGCAGCAGCGCTGCTGTTGCTGCTGCCTGCTCTCTTTTTTTCGTTTTTTCTTTGGCATTTGTGGCTCGTAGGCGTGTGTGTGCCTAGGCGTCGTGCGTGTTGGAACTGTTTGTCTGTAAGATGTGTAGTAGTATAGAATTCTGGTACTAGTGGAGCCTGTTTGGATCCCATCAATGAAAATCAATATTTAGAGAATACTGTGCCTTCAAAAAAATTTAGAGAATACTTCTCATTTCATTGCTAAATTACTTTCCAATTTCTCTAAATTCCTGAGAACCAAACAGGATAGAGTATTTTGTGAGTGAAGAAAATAGCACTTATGACTCCAAATAGATATATTTAAAAAAATATTTCTTAACAAATTGCATGGTACTTATTTTTACCACAAATATCAATATCATTTTTTTGTAAATTTAATAAACTTAAAATAGTTTGACTTATGGCTAAGCTAGAATTGTATTCTTTTGAGGGTTGAAAGGAGTAGTAGGTAGCCGTTAGCTCCGTGCATCTATTTTTAATAAAAATACATATACGTAAATATTAATGATGCATTTCATGCAGTATAGTACTACTCGGGTTTGCTGGGCAGAAAATTAAACCCTTCTGAACGAGTGGAAATGATCGAATGTGATGTACCAGTACGTATAGAATAGAATTGTTCTGTGCTGCATTTGTCATCAACTTCCTAGTAGCACGCAGCAGCTGCATTTCTCTCTCGGCCTGCATGGAAGCTCATGATGGTTGCCAGATCCTAGTATAATTGCATGGAACGAGCAAGTCTTGAGAGTACTAACATGCCCATGCGTTCAAGCGAGCACGGGGCTAGAATTCTCTCTGCATGCAGGCATGATTACGGCCATCAATTCCTCATCCACCGCCATCCATCCTCATCATGTATGCTGAGGTCCTACCTGCGTGATATGAAGCAAACCTGTTGATGTGCCGTTCGCTCGCCGCAATCATGCCGCATGATGGCGGCATACGGCCGGCCGAGGGCGACGAGGCCGGGCCGAGCCAGGGAACCAAGCCACCAAGGGAGCATGCTGCCTGTCGTCCGCTTGCTCCTCCGTCCTTGCCAATGCCATGATGGCGGTGAGGATGGCCTGCGGTTGGGTGATGCGTGATGGATGGAATGGATGCTTGGAGCGCAACACTAGAGGCGCACATCAGGACGCAATCATCCCTGTTTGTACGCGGAGGGTACCATACCCCAGGCCGGGTCGGGTTCCTTTCTCCGCGGAAAGTAACGCCTTTTGTTTTCCGCGTGTGTGCAAAGTAGGAATTACGCACACACGTCTCTCTCAACGACACGGCGGTACAATTGTGTTACGTTTGGGATGACTGACTGACTCCGCAAAAGATGATATTTCTTTTCTTTTTGCCATGGAGAGAGAGTATGTTCCGTTTATTGCAATTCCTGTAGATTATGTTTTCGATTGCGGCATGGCGCAATTATTATCGAGGTAGTTTAAACATTCCAAAGAAATGATGTTGTATAAAAGCGTTTTTAGCTACGTTATCATGAGACGCCAAGAATCCGAGGTGTAGAGACATGATGAGTGCCCTTCATAGTTTCAACCCAATTTAATGGCAACTCACTACTGGAAAACTGTACTTTGCCGAGTGCCTGATATTTTGCCGAGTGCAAAATATCGTGGCACTCGGCAAAGCAATATTTTGTCGAGTGTAGCACTCGGCAAAATTTTGCACTCGTAAAGTAGGCTTTGCGAGTGCTAGGCACTAGCAAAGTCGTGCACTTTCGGCAAATCTAGACTTTGCCGAGTGCCCGCACTTAAAAAAGCAGTAGCTTCGGCAAAATTTGTTTTATTTTTTTTAAAAAAAACTTTGCCGAGTGTCATCCTTGGACACTCGGCAAAATATTTTTTTATTTTCTGAAACAAATTTTGCCGAGTGCCTCTGGCCCCGGTATTTGGCAAAGACATTTTGCCGAAGTGCTCCCCATGGCACTCGGCAAAAATATATATATATTTTTTTGATTTTGGACTCAAATTTTTTGTGTAGCCTTGTGGCATATTTAAAGCTCTACTCTAAAATTTGGTGAAATTTTGACTTGTTTAGGTATATTTCATTAATTTATTTCGTTTACTTGATTTTTTGATCATATTTCAAATTTGAGCTACTGAGGTCCTTGGAATAATGGAATTTGGTCATCCAAAAATTGATATTCATGATATTTAAGCTTATCTTTGATGCTTCACTTCCAGTCACATGAAATCTCGAGCATCTACCATGGCTCGAACATGTTCGAGTTAGTTTTAACCAAGTGAATTTAAATTATATAAAATCAAAGCGAAGTCCGAAAATCATGAAACTTGTGGAAGGCGTCGTGTTATCGCAATGGAGGCTATGGTAAAAAAATTCCAAGAATTCAAGCATAGTGTTTCCACATCACGATCACTTTGTTTCCATGTGATCACTTAGAATTTTATCTCACTACTTGCTCGAAATCTTCTCAATTTTTTACCACAACATGCGATAACACCAAGGCTCCACAAGTTTCATGATTTTCGACTTCGCTAATTATATATAAAAAATTCACTTTTCCCCGCAACTAACTCGACATGTTACGATAGACTTACTCCATTTTCAACATACACTAAATATTATGAATATCAATTTTGGATGACCAAATTCCAATTCCATGGACTTTTTGAAATACATCGAAAAATCAACCAAACACTCGTTGTTATACCTAAAAAGTCAAAATTTTCATTTTAGAGTAGAGCTTTAATACAAAGGCTACACAAAAAAATTTGGGTCGAAAATAAAAAATATATATTTTGCCGAAACCAGCCTAAGCCAAAAGTGGGAGTGTCCAGAGGCACTCTCAAGAAAATTGGGTTTTTTCAAAAATAAAAATAAAAATTTGCCGAGTGCATGACACTCTGCAAAGTTTTTTAAAAAAATAAAAACAAATTTTGCCGAGTGCCCTACCGCACTTTGCAAAGATCATGCAGCTTATCTTCGCGCCCGCTCCAGCCCCTTTTACGCCGCGACACCTTTGCCGCCGCTGCATCAAGCAATATAAGACGTCCAAACATGCATGGACTGGTATATGGCCACCGAGCAATTTGAGCTATGGAGGAGGTCGAACTCGGCCTCGTCAATTTGCGCTCGTGGCCGGTTCGGGCTAGGGCTATAATTGGAGGTGCCGTTTTAGTCCATCTAAATAGAGGCTTAGCTTTGGGAGGCGGTGGATGGGGTTCTTGCCTTGATGGCGGGGTCTGGCGGCGTGGAACACGCGGCGAGGCTGCCGGCGAAGCGGGAGCCCTTCCTCTGCCTCTTCGGGAGGTGATGGGCAGAGATTGCAAGGTCGTCAATGACTTCTCTTTGTGGGGTTTATACTATCTTTAGTATTTGCTACCCTTGATAGTTAATTTGTCTTTTAGATTCCGTGCTTAGCAGTGCCGATTGTGATCGCTTTGGTTTGTAGTTTTTGTAATTGGTTTTTAGTTAATATATAGATTTGTTAAAGCATAATGCCAATGTAAACGAAAGAATACATGTTTTAATGTAACAGTCATATGTTGAGAAATCGAATATCTCAGTGTTTCTTGAAATAAACATCAACAGCTTTCCGCAAATTCCCAATATCTGTAAATACTTACTGAATATTGCAGGCACACTCATGAGGACTAGTTCACTCCCTGCTGTCATTGAGGGTGCTGGCAATGATGAATGGAAGAAACGTAAGGAAGCACAGAGTCTGAAGAGACTCGAGGTTAAGAAGAAAAGGATTGTGAGGAGGAACTCTCTCACTTGCAACACTTCAAAAGAAGCGGCTGGGCAGATTCCAGAAGAGATGAATGCACACGCTGACAAATTAGTAAGTTCTGATGAAGCTGTTGTGATGAATAACGAAAATCATAGCAGTGGCAAGCATCTGGTGAAGGGGCTTCCCCCTAAGTACCAGGCTACAATTGCATCGCAAGATAGTTTGTCAGCAGTGGGAAAGAAGCCAAACTCAGCCTTCAAAGGTATCCGCTTTTGTTTGTTAAGTACACTGTTTAGGTGCTGGCAATCTATTAAATAGACAGTATTTGATGTTGTTCAGCTTTTGAGAGCATTGCCACACATGGACATCTGGACCTTACAATGCATTGATATCAGGATATGCAAACAGCTGCGTAATGTGCTCGACATTTGCCTTGGCACTGTAGTGATACACAGTGCTATAAATTAGAGCCCAGAAGTAGGTTATCAGCATTAGTATGTTATATTACTTATTAAATTAACTTGTATCCACACTAACAAATCTGTTATAACTTATAATTTGCATCAAACTTTATTAAATCAACTGAAGTCTTATGTAAAGTGAAAAGCTAAATCTTCTAGATGGAGGAGTTCCTGAATGGTTATCAGATTAGGATATAGTATAATAATATGTCTTCATATGCTTATAGCTTTGTGACAATATGACCTTTGTGCATGCCTAAAATTATCTGAATGTGCTAATTTAGCCTGCAGAAGTCATGTTAAGAATTACAGCTTGAGCTAAGGCATTCCATCACATTTATCTTGGTATGATTAGACACTGTGTTTTCCTTGGTCTCAGTTCATGGTTTCAAAGTTGTAGGTATTATCATTGGCCACTCATAAGCCAAAGAGACATATAAAAGCTGGATACACTCAAATTTGTCAGAGGAAAAACAACATGCAGGAAGGGGTCAAATGCATCTCTACTCTGGCGATAGGTAGGCATTCCTAAGTTAGTGTTCACAGATACTGATTACGTACAAGGAAGATGATGTGGATTGAATGTGTAGTTGCAATGTACCTTCCCGTCTAATCAATAGCAAACACTTAATTGAGTTCTTAACAGCATTCTCATGTTTATCAGCATAAATCAGAGGCTTGTCTTTGGCTGCTACATACAACAGTCATATCTGTAAGTACATATGCTATTTTGTCTAATATTTCATTGAAGATTGTCATTAAAGAATGCCATAACAACTGACCTTTATTTATTTTCTACTAAATAATTGATGTAGTTCTTATTACTTATTGTCGACACTGCTTTTGTACCCTTATGATCTTATCCGCTATATAAGCTACATTTATTTCTCCTCCATGCTATCCATCTGTAATCATGTTATTATGCTTTCTAAATTTGTCATTGTAGGGTGACATTGCTGAACTACAGAATGAGAGCACAGCAGCCAAACAAAACGAGAGAAAATATCAAACACCTTAGAGCTCCTTATTGAGCTTCAATACTCTATTGTTTAACTATAGCGCAATAAAATAACATAGGTGATCAAGATGGCGCGCCAAAGCCACGCCCAGGTTTTCTAGTTTATTTGAAAATGGGCACTTTTTTCCTAGTACTCTGGTTTTTCGCTTGATAGTAGGTACATCGCAGGTAGACAAGATCGTTTCCATTGCACAGCATTTTTTATTACAAATTTGAAACAAAAATAATAGAAAAGAAGAAACGAGTATATAGAAATCCTAGAAACTTGATGTTTCGTTGGAACATCCCTCGCCGGCAGTTTTGGGCCTGAAAGTTTTTTTTTTTTTTTTTAAAAAGTACTTTGTTGAGTGTCCCTCACCTGGCACTCGGCAAAAAGTTTTTTAAAAAATTCAGAAATTTTTGCCGAGTGCCTAAACAATGACACTCGCAAAGAAATTATTTAAAAAAAAAACTTTGAAAGAGTGCTAGGCACTCGACAAAGAAATTATTTAAAAAACAAAAAAAAACTTTGCCGAGTGTGCAGGCAGGGCACTCGGCAAAGTAATTTTTTTTAAAAAAAACTTTGCCGAGTGCTTGGCGGAACACTCGACAAAGTCTTTTTTTAAAAAAATAAAAAAAAAACTTTGCTTAGAGTGTCCGGGTGGGCACTCGGCAAAAAGTAATTAAAAAATAAATTTTTTTTTTGCGAATGTTGGGTCGTGCACTCGGCAAAATAACCGAACGGTACCCAAAATGGTCGAAAATATTTTTGCCGAGAGTCGCCCCAAGCACTCGGCAATTTTTTTTTTTTATTTTGCCGAATGTCCCGATAAAAGCACTTTCGGCAAAGACCCTTTGCCGAAAAAATTTTGCAACGGACTTTTTGAAAGTGCTACACTCGGCAAAGCCTTTGCCGAGTGCAAAGGGCTCTTTGCCGAGTGTAAAAACACTCGGCAAAGCCGCGGCCTCCAGTAGTGACTCCATAATCTGCGTGGGGTCTATTTGGATTTTCATGGGCTAGTAGCTAGAAAATTAATACTAGTCTACCAAAACAGGAGGACTAAGTCCTGTTTGGCTTACTCAGAAGCCGACTTGTTTAGCTTCTTGTTTTAGCCGGAACAATATTTTTCTCTCACAACGATTCAGTCAGAACAGTGTTTTTCAGCCAGTTTCAGCCAAAATTCAGCAAGCCGAACGAAGCCTAGATAGACTAATTTTTAGCCAAACTTTTGGCTAGTTGTTAGTTCATTAGCCAAATACAACTAGCTAACAAAGGTTAATAGTTCATTGCTACAAATATATGCAGCTTTTAGCCTGACGTCCAAACATGCATGGACTGGTATATGGTAATTTGAGCTATTTTTAGAGCCGGCTAATAATTAGTTTTAGTCCATCTAAATAGACTCTTAGCTTCGGTGGATTGTAGTTATTAGCGAGCTATCCAAAGCAAATCACCGAATGATGATCTATGAAGTGCATTTAGTAACGTTTATCATGAGACATTAATTAAGAATATGAGGTGTAGTACTATCCATCCACAAACTATGGCTCCGGCTCTGGCTCCTTTGGAGGAGCTGAAGCCGTTCTGGAAAACGTTTGGTAAAATGGCTCCTTCGCACTAGACGACGTGAACCCACAGCAAGGAGCCGCGCGAAGCTCGTTTTTGAGACTTCTCCTGCGCATGCAAAAAATGGCTCCGGCTCTTGACCAGCTCCCCATGTGGAGCCATTTCCAAAACAGGCGTTTGGCACAGCTCCTGCAGGAGTCGGAGCTGAAGCCCGCCCTGCCAAAGAGGCTCTAAATTGATTGCTACGCCAGGATGTTCCGTGATGTATGACCAAAATATCCATGAGTGGGACTTGGCTCACTAACGTTTAATGGTTTTAGTGTGGGACTAGATAAAATTCAGGTGGCTGAATTTTAGCTTCCTTTCATACGACGGCTATTGCATATATTTTATATTAAAATTATAGTAAAAAATATTGGAGACCCAAAAAAATATTGTTGATATAAAAACTGTTGTCTAGATCATTTGGAGATATGCACCACGATTTAGATACTAGCCAAACGACCTAATCATCTAGTCCAAAACATAACACTAGACTACTGTTGAATAAAAGAACACATGTAAACCTATCAATTGCTAGAACATGCGAGTGTAATCCACTACTAGCAAGATTACACATGAAACATCAAACACGCCATATGCAAGAAACTAACCATTAGAAACAGACTGATCTTGCTAGTTAACGGTAAAGATAGTTCTACGGATTCATTTGAATCCACACTGGTAGAAAACAAAGCTTTACTCTTGGTGGGGAACCCCTCTAGTCCCGGTTCCCCACCTGGGAGTAAGCATCCGGGACTAAAGGTCGGTGGGTAACACCAACCGGGACTAAAGGTCCTCCCAGCTTTAAAAAAAATAATGCCTCCCACCGCTGTGTCCCGTGAGATTCGAACCCAAGACCCCATGTATTGCCTCGCGCGTAGCTTACCACCCCACCTACACAACACATCTAACAATGGATGTGATGCTTCCCTTTTGAACTAACCCATCGGGGGACCTTTAGTCCGAGTTGGTGTTACCAACCGGGACTAAAGGGTTCATTTTTTATCCCGTTGGTGGCTCCAACCGAGAGTAAGGTCCACCTTTAGTCCCGGTTGGTGGCTCCAATCGGGACTAAAGGTCCTCTCGCCATGCGCGGAGCGCAGTTTAGGCGAGGATTTTTTAGTCCCGGTTGGAGACACCAACCGGGACTAAAGGTCTCTTTAGTCCTGGGCAAAAAAAATACCGGAACTAGAACCTATTTTAGCATCGGATAAAAGATCTGTTCTCTACTAGTGCCAATCCAGAGGAGATCGTGAATGACTTACCTTGATTCGATGAGTAGAGCACCGACTGATAACACGTTAGAGATACACGTCGCCCCGGATCCCCTACTACCCAGTTATCGTACCTCTCGATAGCACGTGAGGTGTGTGAGAGGTTGATGGAGGTCATTTGTTCCCTTTCCCACGCGAGCACACACACAAGGAACAAGATACAGAGATACGTAAATGTACAATTCTCTTTAGATTAGAATAGGCGTGCACTGATTATGTTCCAGTTTATGTTCCAGTTTGTTTCAGCTCGTTTCAGCTTATTCTTTTTCACAGAACACTATTGAATCATCCGAAATAATCCGAAATCTACTGCGAACACGCCTACATTTTAAGAAGATAAGTTATATTTTACCATGACAGGTGCTAACTTATCACGTTTTGCTCCAGTGTTTAGTATAGTCTAGCACCCGAATGTGGGACCCACGAAGGGGATAAGATATTTCTTCATTTAGCTTTTCACGCAACCTTTTCTTGCGAGCAGGTTTAGATGTGTAAGGAATACTATTTTTAACCTTAGCTCCAGGTGCTATAAACTTTGGCTACTGGTGCGATACATGTCTAGCTTGGCGCCACCACTCCAATGTTTAGCTACCCTAATATGTTGGAACCGCTTATAAAACAAAAATGTTAGAACCCAATTAATTTTCCATAGGCCTTGTTTGGATGTTATCGGTGGATCGAGGTGAATACCGACTAGTCGTCCAAACAAAAACGTGATGGAGGGATTTAACCAATCAGGCACCGGCGATAGGGCTCACATTGGCGCCGTCGGAACTCGCAAGTGCGTCAGCTTCCGCCCGCTCTCTCGCCCGTGCTGCAGGACGGCGTCACGTGCCGCGGCCGCAGCGCGGTAGTTGCTGCTGCCCCGCGTGCCTGCCAGGCACCCTCCCTCCGGTTCGGCCCACGGAGATTCCATCGGCGCGTGATGGCAGCACTCGCCCGCGTCCCCCCGTCTTATTAACCGCGCGCGGCGTAGCGCGACGACGAGCGCATGCATGCTTGAGTCCGCAGGGCATGCAGGTCCGCTGGGGCGCTGCAGCTGACCTGT